GATAATTATTCCAAGTATAAAAAAAAATTCTTTAATTATTCCTTGTGTAAAATAAATGAACACACATAAATAATTATAGTAGAGCGATCAACAATTGATAGTATTAATTGAAACTTTATATAATATTTTAATTAGTATTAATACTTTTGGTACTTCGGTTCGATATCGGTACTTTAAAGTATCGTATCGAAAATTTTTGGTAATTATCGATACTGATACCGAAAAATTTTTTCAGTATCGGTTTTACAAAATACCGTACCGAATGGTACCGATCAGAATCCTAGCTGTCACGTTGTCATGTGTTATTTTTAATGTTGTTGTTATTAAGTTAAAAGATATGTTCGCGTAATTGAGGTTTTGGAGGGAGCAAACTGATTTTGATTTATTTGCCAATTGTATGTATGTTAAAAAAATTTTCATTTTGTTTAGATGATGGGGAGCTTTGAGACCCTTTTAGTCTTTAGGATGGTGACAAGGTTATTTGATTTATTGGATGAAATCTGATCACTTAAAGGTTCCTGTAATGTTAAAAAAGGTATTTAACCTGGTACTGGTCTGGCTATAGGGGTGATAGTGGGTTTGGCTCCCTAAGGCCTCACTGTAAATCAGTTTTTCCTGCTTTGTACCCTTCTGGATACAAGCAAGTGCTTGTTTTTCTATTTGAACAAAAATAAAGAAGTGTTAGAGTATATATTTGATATACCTTTGTTATTCTGTGACTGTTTTGAACTTTGAAAAGTGGAAACTATAGGACTTGAAAGATTTTTGTTAAGTAAAAGTGACTTTGTTTTTTTCTTGAGGAATATTTTCAAAAAAGGAAATTTGATGTGGACGGGAAAGAGTTTTTTTTTTTGAGTTAGTTTTTTTTCATTTAAATATATTTATATATTATTATAGGAAAATATAATGAATAAATAATAAGAAATTATATGGATAAATATATTAGGTATATTAGAAATAATATATAATTTTTTTATATTTTTTGATTTTAAATTATAATGTATTAATTATAAAAATGTTTTAATTAATTATTTATTTTAAATATAATTAATTAATTGTAACTAAAAATTTTAAATTTTGATTAATTTATTTTAAATATTTCAATTAATTATTTGAAACATTATTTTGTTAAAATATATAATATCAAATTATTTTGTTAAATTTTATAGTAATTAATTATTATTATTGTAATTTTATTAAATATATAAATTAAATTTTTATAGTTATTATATTGTATTTTTTTTTATTGTCATATTTTATATTTTTATTATCAAATATTAAAACTTTAATATATATTTTTATTAATAAATTTGAATTATATTGGCTATAATTCAGTAGCTGACTGGCATAATTTAGTATGTATTTTTTAAAAAAAATCAACTTTTTTAAAATATATATTTTGAATTAATAATAATATTTAAGAATATATATATATTTTTATTAATAATTAGTTGTTAAAAAATTTTAAAATATTTATTTTGAATTAATAATAATATTCAAGAATATTTATTATTTTTTATTAATAATTGGTTGTTAAAAAATTTTTAAAATAATTGGTTTGAAAATTAAATGAATAATAAGAGTAAACAAATTCCTAAGCTATATAAAATATTTAAATTTTTTGAAAAATAATAATTATTTAATATCAAAGTTTCGCATTTAATAATGCTTGTTTGCAAATAATAACAATAATCATTATTGTTGATATTATTATTATTATTTAACATATAAATTTAATACTATTAAAATAATAGACAAATTGTATAATAATAAAATTATTACTATCATTAATTGGTTTTTTAAATCATATTTAATGAAATCGTTTTTATTGACTTGCCAATCAATAACATATACTGTGATATTTGCGCCTCACTGTTTTAATAATATTTGATCTTTATAATCATTAACTATATAATTTATTTTTTACTTTATTATGCATTACTCTATTTATTCATTTTCTTTAAAATTTCATGTAGGTTTTCCAATTCTTTAGTGTCCATGGGATATGAATTTTCTTCAGCTGGAAATGTTCTTGACTTAACGTCCATTCGATACTCATCCAATGCTTTAACTATTATCTTATCTAAATCCACATATTGTTTGCAAAATCTAAATTTGAAAAAGAAATATCATTACCATAAATAGGTTGTTAACGAGCAGTTTTTCAAGTAAATTTGAAATTATCATACTTTGGGACAAATTGGTCATAAACTCCCAATACGTCTTGTTGTACTAAAACCTGACCACTTGTGCCGTTACCTGCGCCGATGCCTATAGTAGGAATTCGCAACTTTTTTGTAATAATAGTTCCAACTGGTTCAGGAATTGCTTCTAGCACTATAGCAAAACATCCAGATTCTTGTAAGGCAAAGGCATCCTCTAAAATTTTAAATGCCTAGAAATATTGCAAGACTTTTGAGAAAAGCACAGGCATTCCATTATTATTTATAAAGGTACATTCATTAAAATTTAATGACCTTTTCTGCAGTTTTGCCCTGAACACGGTATCCACCCAGAGAACTTTGACGTTGTGGCATCAAGCCTATATGACCTAGCACCGATATTCCTGTATCTGTAATTTTTTTGATAGTCTCGGCCATTTCAACACCTCCTTCTATCTTTACGCCCTTCAATATAAATATAATTTAGATACCATGTCAAGAGGTAGTTAGAGTTTCAATTAATTACGTACCTCCATACTTCCTTCCTTTACAAGCCTAATAGCATTCTTTAATGCGTCAGTTGGACTTGTTTCATAACTACCGAATGGCATGTCGCAAACTAAAAACGGTGTTTTTGCTCCCCTCGCGACTGCCTTACAATGATGAAGCATTTCCTATAAAATAAAGCGATGTTGATGCAGAAATGGATATTCAGGCTGTTCTCTAAAATATAATAACACATTCTCTCCTACAATACCTCCATGGTGATGGGATTAGTGGTCTGATAACCTAATGCAACCATACTTAAAGAATCACCAACCAAACAAATCTCAATTCCAGCCTTTTCAACAAACAATCCACTGGGATAATCATGAGCTGTCATTACTGCTATAGGAACATTGCTTTTATAGAGATCGTAAAGATGTGATATTGTTATTTTTTTGGATGCTTAAACAAGATAATAGAAATTTTTTATTGTAGTTGAAGTTTGAAAATTTAACATGTATCACTCAAGCAAAATCTGAGATACCTGATTTGATCATTTTTTTTGATGGAACAGCACTATAATATCTTGATGACATTGAGGTTAACTTATTAGGATGACTTTCGATCGAACTTCTCGATACATTTAGAAATGTTCGAGATGCATTGCACAACGTGAAAACGATATTTGTTAACATTCTTTTTTTGGGTACCATTAGATCGAACGAGCGTCAGATCAAAAAAATTGACATGAAATGTGTTGATCACATGTAGTGTATCACTGCGTAGTGTGTAGTAATAGCGATACAGTTGCACATCCTACCCAGATACGTACCGATTATCATAGAAGGAGTTTTTCACGTTACTAAAGTATTTTAAAAGATCTTTAATTCGTTATAAATTTTAGGACGGCTATCAATTTATTATAAAAAAATCAAAATTTCGTTTTATATAGAAGCTTTTCTTTCTTTCTAATAAACTATTTTTATATTTTATACAATTATTGAGTTCACAAATTATACTATTCGGGCTTCTTTTACAAAAATTGTTCCAAGAAAATAAATTAATATCATTTTCTTAAGACAATCTGTAAGAAAAATTCAAGGATTTGATATTTGATTTCCGAAAAATATATATGATAACACGAAAATTTTGATTTTCATAATAAATTAAAAATTGATAGCTGCCCTACCTAATTTTGTCACCCGTACATAACATACTGTATATACTGTATGTTAAACCTATTTCTCGAACATGAATTTACGATCTTGAGCTAATGTAATATTAATGCTACAAACCGAAAGATGATGCATCCGTTGCTTAAAAATTTTAATAAATGTAAATACGTATATGAAATATTAAAAGGTAAATATTAAAAAAAATAGTTTTAATTATATAAGTGTTTATTTTATTATGTTATTTGAAAAATTTACAAAATATAATTGATAACTAAATTGTAATAATAATTTTTTTTAAAAGAAAACTAATAACAAATGTTAAAAATTTAAAATCAAATTATATATTATTTTTAAATAACTTAAAGATTTTATTGAAAAAGAACATATAGTGACTTATCAATAAATTATAAATGCTTGAAACTTTTATTATTTCAAATCAAATTAATAAATATAACATTAAATTTTAATAATAACAATAATAATTTTTTTTAAGTAGTTAATCGTTATTTTTTTATTTATTTACATATTACAAAATATTTTTTTTTTTAAAAAATAATATTTCTCATATATATTATACAATAAGTTAAATGTTAACTTGTTTACATATAATAATAAAAATAACTTTATCAGTTTTATTCCAGTTTTATAAAACATTATTCTAACAATAAAGTTAAAATTAAATAGTATTTATAGAATTACTAAAAACAAAATTAAAATCAGATAATATTTTATAGAGTTACTTAATAAATTAACTTTAATAAATTAAATTACATACAGTATAGTACAAAAAAAATAACAATTATATTTTTTTTTATAACTTAATAAATAATTAATAAAAATTTAAGAAAATTTATAAATATATATTTAAATATCTTATAATCAATTTTACTTAATACTGTTTTAATAAATACATTAATATTTTTTAAAATAATTTAATTTTTATAATAAAAAATTTATAATAAAAATTTCTTTACTCTTTTTATATACTGTATATCTAATTTGAATTAATAGAAATAGAAATATTAATTTATAAAAATTTAAAAAAAATTAATAATTAAAATTTTTACAATTTTATTATAATGGAATTTTTTTAAATCATAAGTTATAAAATATGATTTTTAAAAAAATTAAAATTAATTTCAAATACATGTTTAAAAAAGAATTTAAAATTTTATTGGAATAAAATAATTAAATATATTTTCTATCCTAATTAATAATCTTTATTTATTTTATTTTTCATTATTGTTAAAATATTATTTGTTTTTTTTTTTAAATATAATATATTTTGTTTTTCTTATATTTTTTTTTTTTAATTTTAAATAATATTTTCTTTTAAATAATATTATTAAATATACTAATATCATTTATTATTAAATTTTGTAAAAAATAAATATATAAAATTTTTATTTATTATTAATTTATTGATAAATTTTTTTGATTTTGTATATAAATAAATTTTAAATATATAATTATTATAATTTTATAATTTGTTTTAAATCAATTAATTAATTTTTCAATAATATAAAATATATTATATTGATTTACCTTTCTTAAACTATTTTGATAATATATTAAAATAGTGATCAACAATTTTTTTATTATAATATTTAACAAAAAAATTAAAAGAAATTTTTTTGTTATAAATTGATAATAAATAATTAAAAATAAAATATATTAATTCTATTAAATAAAAATATATTCTAGTACAAATTTATTAATTTGTGTTATAAAAGATTTGACAAGAAATTTTTTTATATAATTAGTAATAAATAATAAGTCAAAATTTAAGATTTTTGAAAACCAATTAAAATATTTTATTTGAATTATATTATTATATTATTATTCTTTTTAAAAAAACTACAAATTCTAATAAAAAAATTTGTGTTTTTTCATAAAAATTCTTTTCAATTTTAATTGGATTATCAATTTTTTTAAAAATCTATAACTATAATATAAGATATTATAATTATTAATTAAAAAAATTTTTTATAAAGTTTTTGTTATTAATTTTTAAAATACAGTATAAATATTTATTATAAAAATTAATTTTATTTTACAAGTAATAATAAAAGAAATATTATTTAAATTAATTAATTATAATTTTTTTTAATTTTTTTCTTCAATACAAATTAAATATATATTAGCTTTTTTTAATTCTTTTTTGAAAATTTTAAGACAAAGTTTATAAAATTTATTAAAACTTAATCTTAGATTTGGATTTTGTAATTTTAATTTATTATAAATTATTTTTTTTGATTTTTTCAAATAATATATTAAAAAAAAATTAAAATCAATATTAGTATTTTCTAAAAAAAAGAAAATATTATTTATAAATTGACAAAAAGAAATTAATAATTTTGAATTTTGTAAAAGAAATTAATAATAAGTTCAAATGTTTCTTTATTGATTTTAAGTTTTGAAATAAAATATATATTTAATAATTATTTAAATTAAAAGATTTTTTATTGGATTTTTAAGAGTAATAGAAAATTGTTTATTATTAAAATTAAAATCAATATTTGTTAATTCAAATCTGCTATATAAATCAACAATTAATAATAAAAATTAGATTTATATTTAGATTGTTTTTAAATAATTTTTTATAAATAAACTAAATAATATAATTTTTGTTTAAGTAGCTTATTATATTATTTAATTTTTAGATTGGTAATAGATGATGCAATTAGACTTTCCATTACTTATTTTAAAGACCAAACATTTTGTATATGCATGTATAATAAAGGACATGTGCTACTTGCGCCACGGCTAGATTGTTCAATTTTTTTAATACATAAATTTCTAAACGGAAAATTTATTAAAAATTTAAACAGTTAAGAATAACGCGATGAATATAGTGATACTATTTATAAAACCAGTTAGGCGCCACATGTATTACATTTAACCAAAAAAAAGTTATCGAATATCAGTTGTATTTTTCCGAAATCGATTATCTTATTTTTTTCCGAAATCGAGATTGAAAAATTAAAGTATTATGATCATGTGACTGATTAACTGGATCGAGAAGAAAATTAAAACTCGATCATTGAAGAAAGAAACCCCGTCAAATAGAACGAATCAGCCTACGCGAAAACCGCACCAATCAATAGAGTGAAAAGGAGAAATATTTATTCGATCTTGCGATCTTTCAATTATAAAACTTACACTTTAACTACTAATATCCAAAAAGTCGAAATAAAGAAATGTATGTCTATAAAAGAGGTGCGTAGTTGAAGGCTCCTTTTAAGCACTATTGCCCATGATACAACGCTGGCACCTTTGGCACGTAATAAAAAAAATTTTTTTTTTTGAAATCTCGAACAGACGGGCGCAAGGAACGCGTCGCTTTCGACAAGGTTTTCTATCTAATTAAAATTATTTCTTAATAGCAAACTGCACGTAATATGGAAGTAAAATTTTGTTGCTATTTTCCACGTAAAACAGATCACTGCACGTATTAATAAGTTGTGTTACGGTCTTGACTTGAACTTCATTGATCCTGTGGCTGTAACTCAAAAAGTAAAGTGTAAAATCTACATCAATTAACGTGTCTCCTTGTTGAATCACGCGCGCATTGACTAGATATTGTATCAATCATTTTACCAAGGTCATTTCTGGAGTTTATCAGGGTGTCAGTACCGTTGAGCTAGATAATTTGGCGGCCGAAACTGCGGCGTATATGACCACAAAGCATCCCGACTATGCTATCTTAGCTGCCCGTATTGCGGTATCCAATCTCCATAAGGAAACCAAGAAGGCGTTCTCCACAGTTATCGAAGACTTGTATAACTATGTAAATCCGAAAACGAATAAACGGGCATCCATGATATCTGAAACCACATACAATATTGTCATGAAAAACTCGGAGAGACTTAATTCGGCCATTATTTATGATCGTGACTATAAGTATAATTATTTTGGCTTTAAGACTCTTGAAAGATCATACCTTTTGCGAATAAACGGTAAGGTTGCCGAACGTCCGCAGCACATGCTAATGCGTGTGTCTGTTGGTATTCACGGCGAAGACATTGACGGTGCCATCGAAACCTATAATCTAATGTCCGAGAAGTATTTCACACATGCCTCGCCAACTCTCTTCAATGCTGGAACTCCACGACCTCAGCTTTCGAGTTGCTTCCTTTTGACCATGAAGGAAGATTCCATAGAAGGTATCTATGACACGCTGAAGACTTGTGCAATGGTGTCAAAGTCTGCGGGTGGAATAGGGCTGAGTATTCATAGTATTCGAGCATCGGGATCCTACATAACTGGAACAAATGGTTACTCCAATGGTATTGTTCCCATGCTACGTGTGTACAATAATACCGCAAGATACGTCGATCAAGGAGGCAATAAACGTCCTGGTGCCTTTGCCATTTATCTGGAAACTTGGCACCCTGATATTTTCAGTTTCTTGGACTTAAAGAAGAATACAGGCATAGAAGAGCACCGTGCTCGAGATCTTTTCTATGCTCTTTGGATATCAGATCTCTTCATGAAGAGGGTTGAATCTGATGACGATTGGAGTCTGTTCGATCCAGCTGAGGCACCCGGGCTCATGGACGTTTGGGGAGAAAAATTCGAAGTAAGAATTTCTTTCCATCAAAGATAACTTTGTTCGCTTCAGACTAACTTATAGATATTTTATAGAATTTATATGAATCATATGAAAGGCAAGGCCTTGCGCGTAAAACTGTCAAGGCTCAAAAGTTATGGAACGCAATAGTGGAGTCACAGATAGAGACGGGTACCCCCTACATGCTTTACAAGGATTCTTGTAATCGTAAGTCTAATCAACAAAACCTCGGAACAATACAATGCAGTAATTTGTGCACAGAGATCATAGAGTATTCAAGTCCAGATGAGGTTGCTGTTTGTAACCTGGCTAGCATCGCTTTACCCATGTTTGTGGATATCAAAGAAAACACCTTCGATTTTGAACGCCTGCACGAGGTATTTCGTTTATTTTACTTATGAATTTGTTAATTAATTTTTCATTAACCATAACAACCATTTGATGCAGGTTACTAAAGTAATAACTCGCAACCTTAACAAAATAATCGATATTAATTATTATCCTGTTGAGGAAGCGCGTAGATCTAACCTTCGCCATCGTCCGATCGGTATCGGTGTGCAAGGTACCTTCGTTTTTCCAACTGCTTTAACTAAAACTATTCTGTCCCCCTTGTGAAACAGTCTTGTCACTTATCAATGAAGACCTTAATCTAATCGATTGTTATTGTCATCAGGAATGGCGGACTGTTTTCTATCATTACGTATTCCCTTTGACTCTTTACGCGCAAGGGAACTGAACAAGCAGATATTTGAAACCATGTATCATGGGGCCTTGGAAGCTTCATGCGATATCTCACAGAAATATGGCCCATACGAAACGTATTCGGGATCGCCCGTATCACAAGGAATCTTACAGTATGACATGTGGAATGTTGAACCAAGTGATTTATGGGATTGGGATTCGTTAAAACAGAAAATCGCTAACCACGGTGTACGAAATTCATTACTCTTGGCGCCGATGCCCACTGCCTCGACTTCTCAGATATTGGGATTTAATGAATGCTTCGAACCTTACACAAGCAACATATATACACGGCGCGTCCTAGCCGGTGAATTTCAAGTTGTGAATCCTTGGCTACTGAAAGATCTGGTGGATCTAGGCCTGTGGAGCGATCAAATGAAAAACAGGATTATCGCGGACAATGGTAGCATTCAGAAGGGTAAGCATATTGGCGCGAACTAACATGAGGAAATGGTTTTTGTGATCGACGATGATATAAATGACATTCATTTTTTGCATTTCAAGTTCCGGGCATCCCAGATGAACTTAAAGCATTATACAAAACAACTTGGGAGTTGTCACAAAAAACAATTATCGACATGGCGGCAGATCGAGGTGCCTTCATTGATCAATCTCAAAGTCTCAACATACATATAGCGGAACCATCTTATGCTAAGTTAACCAGCATGCATTTGTAAGTATAAATGTGCTTATCAAACTCCGAAATAGTTGGCCCGATGTTAACAGGAATATATTTCATGTGTTCTCATAATAGCTATGGATGGAAGAAAGGTCTGAAGACGGGGATGTACTATCTTCGAACGAGATCTGCAGTGGATGCCATCAAAGTAAGACACAAATGTATATTATGGTATATATGGAATTCATATGTTACATAACTTACACGTCATCCACCATCCCATAGTTTACTGTTGATCAAACTTCTCTTAAAGAGGTTTTAGCAGCCGAAGAAACGGAGATTAAAATCCGAAGTGTTAAATGCCAACTTGAAAACAAGGAAGATTGTTTAATGTGCAGTGGTTAAACATAAACCTGCTAAAGATTACATGTACTTTTATCGATATGTCGATATGTCTAAAGTGGCACGTATGCATGATTGTTCAGACCCACATCGAAATTAATGTAATTCTAGTCACAAAATTTTGAGATTGTCATGTGTTACAATATGCCAATAATCTAAATAAATCCAAGGACCAAAAAGTTTCTATAAGAAGTTGTAATCCTGAAATTGTTACTTTTATTATTACATACATCGCCAAACTCAAAACCTCTTAAAGCCATGTCACAAGTTCAGCAGAGGACGTCCGAAAAAGAGTCGCCGGCAAATACGGGAATTGATGACGTTGAATTATCTCCGACTGAGACGGCAACACGACCACCTCCGCGATTTGAAAGTCAGAATTCGCCTGG